CGGCCCCCCCCCCCCCCGCCCCCCCCCCCCCCCCCCCCCCCCCCCCCCCCCCCCCCCCCCCCCGCCCCCCCCCCCCCCCCCCCCCCCGCCCCCCCACAACACACACACTTGTTATAACTCGCGCTTACCTGCCCATGCCTTCAACTTGCAGAGAATGTTTAAGTCTCCAAATTCGGTTCTGAACAAGGCTAGGACGCAATTACTTAATAAGCAGCGGTTATTATCTGAGGTTAGCATTCTTACCCCAAAAAAAAAAATACAATTTGAAATCTAGACAATATGATAATTTTTCTGCAAAAACTGCTGGGTAGAATGTGCAATGTGAATAACATGGTTTACCCTTTTCTTCTGTTTTTACCTGCATAACTTAGGCTGTGAATGTCATGGTTGTTTTGTGCAAGTATGTTTATTTAAATTTGTTTTGCCAATTGCCATTTACGCAATCATACGATATGTTGTGGGCTTTATTTGAATCGGTATACTTGTACCCATCGATTTTGTTTATTTTCTTTGATTTCTTTTGTTAAATTAACAGGGCAGAAACTTCGGCCACTACGCTGTCGGTATGGTTGATGAGGAATGAGGAGGCATGAATTTGACCAGAAACAACAATACTTGTGTCTCATTTAGACATTCAATCTACATTTCATGTATAAGATTTCATGTATTATGTCAGTAGTACTTGTACACTTTCTAGTTCTGTACTTTTATCAATTACTCCGTAGATTCTAATGACATGAGACTTATGATGAATACGAATGACAAATTGGTATTAAGAAGGGATTTCCTTTGGATCGAAATATATTTTTTTTAAGCTTTTATACAATATTTAAAAAGTTATTAAATGATTAACTTTGACAAAGTTATTATATATGTTTAAATTATTTTTTATTAAAATATTATCGATACTTGATTTTATTGTTTTTACGTTTTATTCAGTGGTGTTAATGTTATAAAAATGAAAATAATAAGTTTTATTTAATATTTTCCTAAGTTTTAAAGTAGCAAATAAGGTAAAATACTTTTTTCTTTTTATTTACCATCCTGTACATGAGATTTTTTTTTCTTCATATAATACTTATATGTAATTTGTAAAGTAAAATATAATATTGTAAGGGAGAAGGGTGAAAGAGTGCTTATTTTATTTTGTTACGTTTGCATCTAAAGACTAAAATAAATACATTAGTTTAATATTCATTGATTTAATATGATAGGAAAAAGACCACTTTTTGGGGAAGTTATATGAATTTAATTTTAGTTTCGATGATTTATATGTTATATGTTGACTTTTATTTATTCTTTTTAATAATATTAAGGGTTCTCATTTTTTGATCCATAGTAATAAGCGTTCTCTCTTAATTCGCTTTCTAAAATTGAATTATACTGTCATAAGTTACATTAATTCTTAAATAGTTAAATTAATTTTTAATTAGTCAAATAAGATTTTTATGTTGAATTATATATCTACATAGGTTATGTTGACGTTTTTAATCAATTTTATTAAAATTGAATTAGCATAATTATATAAGTAAATGTTTTTTTTTATATATTTTGAAAATATTCATTAATTTTTCATATATAATGATTATTTTTTTTTTGAGATTGATAGAAGATATAAAAAAAACTTTCAATTTGGATGCTAAGTTTTGAGAATAATTTTTCTTATATAATGTAAGTTTTAGATACATAGTGGATATTTAATAAATTTATGCTGTGATTGAATATTAACAAAAAAAAAAAAAAGATAAAATGAAACTTTTTTTTTTTGAAAAGTTAAAATTTGACACATCATAAACTAATTAATAAAAAAAATTCATGTTAATTTATCTAAATTTGATATTTTTTTTAAAACTTGTGTATAAGTTATTTTATTAATAGGAGAAATTCTTTTCTTCTTAAAAGTTAATTTTTTTTTTAATAATCTAGCCGCTAACTTATGTCATATTATGTTAATGATTATTCATGTAATTTTTTTTAAAACAAATCCATCAAATTTATGTAATTTCATAAGTAATATTTTCTTGTATTTTTCAAAAAGAGTGTTTGTTTTTTCTTTACAAATATAATATACATTAAAAATTGTTACATTAATAATATTTTTTTTATACATTAGTATCTATTAAAATGAAGTATGGAGTTGATTAGTTTTATTAACAAATTTCTCAAATGATATGAAATAATGTATTAGTGGTATGAAATTTTAACTAAGAGGATAAAACTACTGCACCTTTGTATTTATTATATCGCTTGCTTTTCAACTCCTCCATGTGTGGCTACACGCATGGAATCATATCTATTGCAACAACAGATCAATGGAAAACAATCAGCTCTTTAAAGTGCAATGGTGATGGCACAAATTTTAAACAACAGAATTATTTTAGAGTTAGGTTTTGTTTCAGGAATGATTACAAATATTGTTTTGGACAAAACATGTGCAACTGGAGTTCTCGAAGCTAGGAAAGCAGAAGCATGAGCTTTCTTACAAGCTTTAAAATGTACGATTGAACTGTTGGATTTTCATTCTATTGTCCTTGATGTTGGTTCAATTCAGTGGTGGATGCTTTCTCTTAACACACACAAGAAAGTTCTGAATTCTATTTTATTTTGGAAAAATTTAGAGATCTTTTAATTTCTATTCCAAATTCAATCGTGAGTTGTGTTAGGAGACAACCAAATCAAGTGACCCATTCTTTATCTAAGGCATTGATAAGTGTTACATTTGATTAATCTTGTGGTTTAAATTGAAACACTTATCTCAATTTTCTTTGAATTGAACCGTTAATTTGATCTAAATTTATCTTAATTTGTAGAAAATTAATTTTAGTTCTATACTCATTGTAGGTTTTTTTTATGTTATTTTGTAGATGAGAAAGAAATAGATGAAAAACATTGAAAGAAGTATTAAAAAGGAAGAAATTTGACCAAGTCTTTGTGTTGAGCATAGAATCTCACGCTCAATGCCAACATTTTAGAGAGTTTTGCAAGTTGATTCATTTTGTTACACTAAGAATGAAATTTTACACTCAATGCCAACTATAATGGCCCGATAGTCTATTACACTTTCTATTGAAGATCAACATCTAAATGGAAGAAACATTATGCATAAAGTAAAATGTATGGGAGGTACACAACATATACAATCCAATACACAACTATATACATTAAATAGCATACAACTACAAACATCCTCTATACAACTAGTCGGAGACTCTAAAATATGACTCCATTGAAGAAATCACACAAAGCAACCACCATCTTGCAAGCCAACCACTTAATCCTGCCTTACTCACATACCAAGTATGGTCATCACAATCCCAACCACAAGGAAAAGAAGGGTAAGTTTACAAAAGAAACAACATACAACAATACAACAAAAAAAACAAAAGCAATGATCAATAATAGTACAAGACACAACTCAACAGCTTATTCAACATTTGTCAACTTTATTATAATCGACAACTCAAACAAATATTAGCATCTAATGCGTCGTCACACATGTCAACTAATGGAAATCTCCTACAGCTGAAGTTGAGCAGTTTAAGTGGTTTATCCCCATTGAGTTACAAGGAAGTATGGTATTATGTCAAGGTAGAAAAATTTGGGTATGAGTCTACCACAATATTAATTAGCTTAACTAAGTCAACTATGAGATTAGTCCACCAACTACCCTCCAAATACCATATCCTCCGATACTAGGTTTGGGATTTTAACCTCCAACTTCGTACTTTACTCGATTAATCATTCAAATAAGGTATGATTTGACTACTTCTATACCAAAACCACATAGACCTAGAGGAAGCAACTTTTAAGATGACTTAATTCACCTCTAACATTTATGTATCTTAACTTAGACATGTATCTCGATCATATGTCCATAACTTTACCGTTTTATACAGCATGCAACTTTACAACTATACAATTTTTCACTTTCATCAAATTAATCAACAATATACAACTCAACATCAATAGTATTCATCATCAATTATTATCATTTAACATCATCTACATATCACAACTCATTATATAACAACTTAGGACATCATATATTACCCTATGTTATAAGGGAATTAACACATCATTTTCAACATGAAATTATCAATTAGTATACAATGACAACTTCCACATAACACAACATAATTGGAGTCCTACTAATCCAATCAAACTCATTTTTATCTCATATGAAAGATAAAAAGATTATCAACAATTATCTTAAAGACTCCAGGTTCTAATTCCATCATCTACCATGTTGAAAGTCACAAAAATTGTAACAGTTTGCCTAAATGTTGATAGTTTGACCTTTACTCACTAAAAAAGTCATAATCAGAGTTCTAGAACCCCTTTTTAGGTGATTCCAAAGCCATTAAAAAGATAACATCTAGGGTTACAAATTTTATGAAGATAACAAAGTCTAATTCAGAAAGCACCAAACTAGTAGTTGTTTCAAAACTTCTTAATGGATTCTTTCCAAAATAACACCTGATTCTAATATGAAGAATCGCTCAATCATTTCCTTATAGAGACACACCTAATTCTAATATGCAAAACCCCTCAACTATTTCATGACAGAGACCATCTCTGTTTTTAATGATTTTGAGGTTTCTGAAGCTCTCCATTCCATCCCAAGCTCCCTACAAGTTCTAATCTCAAATCTAAACCATAAAAAACTCATCTAAATAATCAAAATACATAAAAAAAAACAATTGAAGATCAATACAAAATAGGGAATGAAACCATAGATTTCAAACATTCATCAAACCCCCTTATTGGTGTTACAAGAACCAAACCAACTTCTTCCGAAACCCACGACTCAACCATCACAATTCCAGCAACACAACTCATACATTAAGGGTTTGGAAGAATCACCAAATCAACTTCACAAGACACAACCAAGGCAAGTTTCCCTTACCTTCCTGGAGAATCAGCTTGAAAAAAGAGAAGACAAGGAACTCCATATGACTCCGACTGCCTAAGCTCCAACCTCAAAACTGTGAATCTTAACTTTATGACTTGAATCAGCTAAGAAAGGAAGAAAAGGAAAGATTTCTTTAATGGAAGAAAAAGAAGGAGAGGTTTTAAGTTCTGACTTCTCTCTAGAGTTTTAGGAAATATGAATTATGAATGTCCTTTAAAAAAATCTTCCTTATATACCTTTTCTAAGTTGACTCCAGCTATCTCTGGTCCAACTCCTAGAAATCAACGTGCTTTTAGGGTCTCTCAGTCCTAGAGCTCTTAGCAATAATTGTCAAATTAAACAATAAAGCTATGAGATGACAATGTTACACCAAAATACAGACTTGATATTAATGAGAAGAGAGCAAAGAGTTTATAACCTAAAATAGAGATATTGGAAAATAGATCAGTTAAGAAACATTTCTTGAAGTGTATGGTAACTTGAGTTTTCATGGCTTCAAGAAATTTCTTCATCATTTTTGTTGTGCTACATGTCTACATGTAGCTAAGTTCACTTCTATCAGGGTTTGATATAACCTTACATATTCTCATGTCACATTTAAGTTATTAATCCTAGTTATTATCCAATATTATTACTCTTTTCTTTGCTTAATGCTTGTTATGATTTGATCTCCCTTAACTTGATTTTATGGACTTAAAGTGATTAAAAAATGTTTGTGAACCTTTTAATTGAAGCAAAGCAACTAATGGTATTTACATCCAAGAATGGAGTAAATGATATTAGTCATTCATAAGCTATTATTTTTTAAGCTAATTTCTTGATTATGTAAGGAATTGATAACTAAGTCAAGAAAAATTAGACTTTAACTTGTAAGAAATTAAGATTTGA